ATGTCACCAAGGATTTGGGTTTCTTAGATTTTCATGTCATGTTTCTCTTAGGGATGGTGTAGTTTGTTTTCCCTTGATGAAGTGACAAGTTTCTCTCTTAGTAATATTGTATATTTCCACATAGAAAAGTTACTGGTGTTCTGTAATTTCTGTGGGATCATGTAAGCACATGTGCCAGATGTCACTGCCAACAGGTTATTAAAACAAGACTCACTTTTGCACTGATCTTACATATATGTCTTCCTTTACCTTTGGGAGTATAATAATAGCCAAAATAGCTACATAGAGTTGAGCTCTCTGATTTAGATAAATCCAGGATTCACCAGCACGGCTGAAAGCACAGGAGGCCGTGTCACCTGAACCTCCTGCATTGTGTATCAGTGAGCGCTACGGGCTGATTCACACAGCTGACCTTTCAGATTGTCTGATAGCTGTCAGTGTCTTGTCAAACAGACGTCAGCTAATGAGGTAGCACACAGATTCAACTGAATGTTACTTGATATGTGGAAGCAACCATTAACAAGTACTGTATTTTGTCTCAGTTCTGCCTGCAGATGATACAAGGTGTTATTTTATGACCCCCTGCATGAGGGCTTCTTCAGAACATATTCAAATAGATTTGTTATATTTATGCTTTTCTTAAATGTGGCCTAAAATATTTCGTACAATGTATGAGCTAATGAAAACCTTTTCAGTAAAGCAGCCAACAAAGGCCCCATCTGGATGTGCTTGCTTTCTATTGAAAAGAAAATGGTCACGATGCCTTCAATTTTGAAAAAAACACAACAAAACTCAAATTATGTGTCTTTTCCAAATACTAGTGAATGGATGTGAACATTGATAGAGTAAGCTCGAGCCCCACTCATGCACATGACTTCTGCTCTCATGTTTGCTTTTCTCAAATATAAAGGAGTGACAGGTATATTGCTGGTGTATTCACAGTCAATAATACTTTCATCTGATATAAATTTGGAACAGAATGTGTATCTGAACCACAAAAGTTGAGTATTGTCTTTGGCTCACCAATAAAAAAGCAACATGAATAAAGACAATCATAAAACAATCAACAACACAAAAACAACAATTGGCATCAATTAAAACAAGAACACAAGGTTATGGACAACATTACAACCTTCCATAAGTAAAGCCAAATCCTCTTGATTGCCCCCTGGTGGCTCGCTGCAGTATAGGCCATAAACCACGCCTCTTCCATGTTAGTGGATGGGACATGGAGTAAAGTAAGAAAAAAGGCTTGATCAACTTTGAGTTTTAAATTAAAATTTAATTAAATGCTATAAAAACAGCATTAAACATCATGAATCACAGCTAAAACTGTCTGGGTTAAGAGTGTGTTATTGGCAGGACCTTGATACCGTGGCTCCACACCATGATGAACGTGTTGACAATGTCACTATATGGTCGCAAAAACATTTACAACCATATGTGATTATTGCATATGTACAGATCTGGCTTGCCATTCCAGACTAGATAGACTAAATGGCTTTACAGTGTTGAAAGAAAGAACCACTACCATTAAATCAATTAAATCAATGTATAATGGCTCTTGTAGTACTCTCAGTCTCCTGACAATTGACTCATAGGAATACGGAAACCACATAAAGTAGGCAATTCCCATCATACATTTTGTGAGTGAAAATGACATGAAAATGATTGCTCTTTGTGCAGAAAGTCATAGGCTGATTACCCTTGTTATATAATGTAAATCTTTTGGGCACATGAATGTCAAAAAAGAATGAGCAATTGTCTGATCACAGTGAGGTCACCATTATGCTAGAAGGAAAGACAGAGACTGTGAGGGAAAAGGAAATTGGTAAGAATCAGACAAGGCAGGCACACGAGTGAATGGGTGTATGACTACATAAAGGAGGGGGCGAAAAAAATATAATAAAAAAAAAAAGCGATGGGAGAGAACCATTAAATTGTCTGTTTGCTTTAAATTGCTAAAATTTTGAGCTCAGTGCCATAAGCCCTCCTGGGTCTTTATACATTCACCTGTCTTTACTGGGCCACATCACATAACAGTTCCTCTAACGGACACCATGAGGGATACATGGAGCGTGGGTGAGATAAAGCACTGTTCTGAATTGAAAATAAACCCAATAGACTGAATTTATCACAGATTGCAATTTTCACTCTGTGGGTATATTGAAGACTTTGTTTGGTTGCTTATCCTTAAGCATCATCATTGGAGGATATCGTCTCTGTGTAGAACAATGAGTCAGGAAACGTCGGCTAATCACTTATTACAATAACGATAATCACTTTGGATTTATTGTGGTATTGTTATTGATCTATATCATCAGTGATCCTTTCACAAATGTGGGCATCATTAACAGCAGCATCATCTTATAAGTCGTGCCTCGGTCAAATGGAGCCTGTAGTGGGGTGTGGTACTTGCTGTAATCCCACTAATTAGAGAACAGACAGGTCTCCCTTTGTGCAGTGAACCTGAGCTCATTAGAGAGCATGGATGTTGACGAGAGGTGTGGGTACATAATTAGCCACTGTTTATTTGTTGCCTTTCTCTTTTTGCTCCATCAGCAGGGTAGAGGTAAATCTGATCAAGCCACAGTAAAGCTGGCGCAGGGAATACACAATGCCATTTTTAGGTAATAAACAGCTGAGTGGGGGCAGTAGAGGGGTCACACACATCTAATTCCCTTTACTTACCATTCTACTGTATTTATTTATCTCTGAGGTCATCAGCGTTTCCTTTTAAATAACTGAGTCACGAGAAAATGAAATGAAAGCTGTTTTGTTTATGAATCTCTCTCCCAATACCTGTTGGGATGGAGGGGTAGGGCTAAGGCTCAGGGCTTTACATCCCTCTAAACGGACCCTCACTTGAAACAAAGGGGTACCAAGAATGCCTTGCGAATCACGGGCAAACTGGGAGAGAGAACCACAAATGTAGTATTTTCTCCATAAATGAGGATTTAAAAACTATGATAATGATTGTAATATCTTAGTTTAATATCATTTCAATGTATTATGGTCATTTTTTCACAACAACCTTAAAAAAAATAAGATCGCAACCGCGCTGGTGTGTTGACATTCTAATGATCTTTTTTTTGCATGATAATCCCATAATTTCATGTCGCATCCCCTCCTTTAAGATAAACAATGCACTTGATTTAACCAGCGATTAGCAGCAATGTTACTAAACTCAACTGCTCCTCATCATCAGAGCTCTTCAGTTTTAAAATTTAATTTTTATTTATTTAAGATCTGCATGGACTACTGATGACGTGTCGCAACGACTGCTGATGATGTAATGGCTTCTTGAAAGGCTGTCCCGATTTGTAGGGGAAGATTTCAACCACTGCCCTTGTGACTCCATTTTAAGGGGCGAGATGACCCTGGAAAACTAGAGGTAGGGGTAGGGCCAATATATGGCTCAAGTCCCCCCCGTGAACCTCAAAGGATAAAATGGTACAGATAATGAATGGATAGCCGGTTGGTGGTCGTGTTCCATGCTACTTGGTGATGTAGACGCTCTGTGGGGAAAAAAGCTGGCAGTGTAATTTATGGAAGAGAACTCCTTTAGGTCTTCATGATTACTCGTTCAAAGAATATATATGACAGTAAAGGAAACGGAACAACCCAAAGAGCATAATGGGCACGTATATGTTAAAGCAATTTGCCTCTGGTGAGATACAGCCTTTGAAATCTTATGTGTATTGAAGATGGTTTGAATTGCTTCACAAATATGTTTTGAATAATGTTTTGACTTTTGACACTGAAGATTACCATTATTATTGTGTGCTTTCAAGGGGGAAGTGAATATCGAACAACATTTTTTCCTTCAAAATTCTTTCCATGAAACACCCTGATATCTTGCTATTCATTGTCTGTCCTTTTGTTGTGTAAGCTTTTCAGATTGTCCAGAATCTTGTACAGATGGGAGATAACCTTGTGGTTAGTGTTTTGGTTGGGAAAAAACACATTATTTCTTATCTTGGTACAATGCCACACAAGGATAATATAGTTTTGGTGAGATAAGGTGTTGTGCAGGAAAACATCCAGGGCAAAGAGGTAAGACGGTTTGCAGACTGATGGAGCCAGGGGGTTAAGTGAAGCTTGAGACCAGTGGAGATGAGCTGGTAATGGAGAGGTGCGTCACATGGCGAACGTGGCAGGCAGAGTTGACCCGACAAACGGGTAAACATGAGGTGATCCTGAAGCTGAAGGAAATAAATGTTACTCACAGAAAGTCACAAATCTCCATTTGAATTGCCTGTAGATGTAACCAGTGATATCCTTGTGTTTTAGATACTAATGCACAAAAGTTCTGACTTCAATCTGAGACAATATTTCAGTGTTTTCCTGTATAGTTGTGTTTTTTTTCATGTACACCATTTCAGAGACTATTGATTTTTGTCATCAATAAAATGTTACAATATTCGCCCCACTCCCCACAGCTCCCTAATTTATTTAATTGGAGCTATGATGGCCATAATAGGCCATTGTGCTTTTTCCATGTTTAAATGCAGTAAATTGTTTTCTACTTTCATGTTGTATATGATTCTTAATATAAAATGGATCTTAATATCAGCTGCAACTGTGTGTGTTTGTGGTGTGATTGTTGACATGGCAAAAGTCTGTAACAGCTGGTTTTTGTTACTAAAGCAGGTGTTTATGTTTTTCTGCGATAACATCACAACTATGTAAAATGCTGTCATGAAACTTTACAGGTGTGAAGTTGAAAGTCGGATGTGCAAATGTGTCCCTAAATTAATTATTTTACAGTTATTTCTGCATGTATGATTTTATTAAGCAGGTCGGAATATAAGACAGCAGCTATATGTTTATGGCCAGAAAATACATAAACACATACTAATGTTGAATGAATTTCCTTTTATAGCTTTGTTTCTGCTCTTTCTTAAAAATGCCAGGTTACCAGGTTTACCCTCCATTAATATATTTGTTGGGCGGTATTTATCTAACACTATTTTTGTCTGTCCTCTGTTCCTGTGCAGATTTTGGCCAATATCATAATTTTCTTGTGTGGAAACATGGCTGGGGCGTACCACAAGCATCTCATGGAGTTGGCACTCAAACAAACTTATCAGGACACCTGCAACTGCATCAAGTCCCCAATAAAACTGGAGTTTGAGAAGAGACAACAGGTAAGGTGATCAATGAGTCTTAAGGGTTAGGGAGTTAGGCAGTGAGTTTATGTTGTAGTTTTGGATGAAGGTGGTGATAGTGCTTTGATTACAGGGAGCATTATAGTGATGACGAGCATGAATGAGGAATGGATCATATAAACCATGTATAATGTATGATTATGATGACGACAATGACTGTAAGCGGGGGTTTCAAACGCAATCACAGAGAGGGCCAAAGTTAAAAACTGGGACTACGTCGAGGGCCAAACAGAGTCAACATTTATTAAGCAGGATAGACAGGGTATTGGATAAGGTGCAAAAAGAAAACATTTTTAGGTTGGCTACATTCAGCCAGAGCCAGATGTTTGGCATCTTTTCTTGGCTGCCAGTTCTTTATGTTTGGAGTTAGGTTCTGTGCTGTGGAAACCCTCAAGATGGAGTGATGGTGTCAATCAGGGAGATGACTCCTGTCTGGGTTTACTGTTCATCTTCATCACAGAGAAAAGCGTGTGAACCTGAAGGGGCAGGAGGAGCGCTCGTTCCGTGTGCGTCTAGCCAGGAATTGCACAGCATGGCTCGGCCCATGGAGCCTGTGCACGCCGCCTGGATCTCACTCTGCGAGTGGAGAGGAACGCTCACCCACTCCGTGTGTGTCTAGCCGGGCGTTGCACACAGTGGCTCGGCTATGGAGCTTCTTTTTTTTTTTTACAGTGTGTATCCTATTTACCAGCGAGCCAGTTAAGATAGACATGTGTTTTATCATGATATAATTGTACCAAGGGCCGGAAGTGGCCCGTAGGCCTTGAGTTTGACAGGTGGCAAATAAGCACAGTAACTACTTGGGGTATAACACCATATCAAACTCAGAGAAAAATAACTGATGTTGATCCCAAAAATGTTTTCTCTTTCTGTGGGGATATATTTTTCATGAGCCTTTTAATGCTGCCCTTGAGTAAAACTGCTGACTTAACCAAAATCATCTTCACTGAAACTTCCAAACCATTTTTAGTGTCATCAGTATGTGTCTCACACCATTAGTGGTGTTAAACATTCAGGCTGTTTTTCTGCTCATGTGCCTAAAGGATTTTAACGAAAATCTCTGAGCTCTGCATGTAACTGTTAGTGCCTGATTCTTGTGCATTGAGAGAAGACGGAGTCCCCAAAGAATTGGTTTCGGGGGTTTTGTTTTACAAAATGTGGTAATTGTTGATGACCTCAGTTAGTGTGCTGATAATGTCAGATCCCTGGAGCCCTCAGCGTGTCTTACTGCAGTAATAATGTTTAAGTTTGTCCTGTGCAGCATTATAATGTTTATTGGTCATCAAAACAGTTCTATGCAATTGCATGAGATTAAACCTTATTGACAGATAAAAAAGGACCATGAAGCATTTGTAAAATATATTGTTGGAAACCGGATATAAGACTTTGACAAAAACATAAAAGTGATCTGTCTCATTATTACATGACTAGAGGAGACAAGTTGTATTTCCTTTTCCCTTCTATAGACAACTGAGGAATAGAATGTAACATATTTTGTAGTTACTGTTGCACTGAATCTACTTGTTTTTTCACGTCGGTCGGATTCCTTCTCATTATCCATCCATATCCCTGCAGTCGACCACCACCAAACATTTCCTCCTCCCAAAAGAAGCAATTTCCTCCAAGTCTATGTTTCTTTCTTTCTTGCGTGATCTTTTAAAAGTCTTAACTGATGGGCCAAAGGATTTCTTGATTCGTGAAACCTCAACTAGCTTAACATAATAAGATGCTTTTTTCAATTTTACTCAAGGGACCGGCTCCTCCTGTCTAAAATGATATAGTCTAAATTTATAATTTTATTCATGTAACTTTCAACTTTTTTCTCATTGTATTATGACCTCATCCTTGTGAAATAACAATGCTATTCTTGTCATATTGACTCTTTTTCTTCTATTTTTATTACTTGATTCTTGCAACTTGAATTTATTCTCAAACTCTCTAAATTTCTCTTTTCTTAAGTGGCCCTAATATTCCTTCGTACCATCCAACACGTCTTTGCAACCTACATTTCGCTATCCCATGAAAAACTTGAAAAGGACCTGAGACTTTTTGTCTGTGTCTGTGTGTTTTTGCTTTTTTCACGTGCTATGTGTAAAAGGAGAACTGGTTAGTGCAATGAATTGAATTTAATGCTGCTACTTCACTGCAGCATAGTGTCCTGTGAGAAATGAGCAAGGTTTTGACTACTACTGCACCACTAGTCTTGGTAACAGCCTAGGTGTGGAGTGGAGCTGGTTATCTCTGTGTTGAATCCCATTTGTTCTGTTTCAAGTTCTGTGAGTGAAGCCAAAAATGCCTTGGGTTTTCCAGTAGCCCCGGAGTGCTGCTATTGCCTACGACAGATGTTTGGAGCAGTGCAGAGCCGCATTTCTCCCGAGCACTCCGTGCACTCATACTATATATGCGTCTTGCTTTTATCCAGAGTGCCTGCAGTACACTGAGTGCATACATTTTCATTACTAGTGTTCTGAAGAGGACTATGCAAATTCATCATAAACTGAAAGTCGAGGCAGAGTTTGTTAGGAGCCACTGTGGACTTCTCCTCCGAGAGCGAACAAACCCTCTGAGCCCTCTGATCAATGAGGCAGAAAACAAGTCAAGTTGGAGGCGACATTTGCTTAAGTGTATTCTCCAATCTTGAACCTCTCCTTACCCAAAGAGAAGTTTTAATTGCTAATTACTGCGCTGGTTGTCTTAGAGTAAAACCAACAGTAACCACAGAGAAATGGTTAAGCTACCACTTAGTAAAAAAGTAAGGGCTGAGTCTGACTTCTGGTCACACCAAAAAATAATGAACAGTCCCAAAAGAAATTTAATTGATCATTATTTTGAGGAACAGGAAGGAAACTGACACTATGTGGTGCTTGACTAACTTTACTAAGGAGTTGATTTTTTTAATGGAGACTGGTGACATAATGGTAACAGCTTTTCATCTGCCTGCTGTCATCAAAAGTTATACTTCAGAATTTATTAGGACAAAATTAAATTAAATATCAGTTAGTCATTTCAGTGTCGGGTCAGAGTCTTTGATCATTATATGCTGATTACATATTATAAATGTCCGAATGTTGGAACTGAAAGCTTGTTTTGATAATTAAGTGAAAGATTTGTTCTACATTTAATCCCGGTTAATTTCGGTCATGCCACTGGCAGAGCGCAGAAATTAGTCCCTGAGAAAGAAGAAGCTAAAGCAAATTAGTAGTTAGCTAAGTGTTGAGGATCTGTGGTTGCTAACTAGAAATGACATGTGAAACATTTCATTGTAGATAATTATTGATTGAAATAAGCAGATTAATTTATTTTCATTGGTTCTTCTGAACACCCCTGTTCTGCCTCTGCTTTTCTTTTTGTGTCGTTGTCATTAGGAGCGTCTCCTGTTGTCACTGCTGCCAGCTCACATTGCCCGTGTGATGAAAGCTGAGATCATCCAGAGACTGAAGGGCCCAAACTTTGGCCAGATGGAGAACACAAACAATTTTCACAACCTTTATGTGCAGAGGCACACGAATGTCAGGCATGTGGTATTTATTTGTATTTATGTGACCGAGCAGTACCGTCATGTTCAGATTTTCATATGAGGACTAATGTCGTACAGTTACACATGGAAGTATGATAGTTTTTGCAATAAAACGATATTTTTTCACTTGTAGTATACTGTATGCTGATATCGTGGGTTTCACGCGGCTGGCCAGTGACTGTTCACCTGGAGAGCTGGTGCACATGCTGAATGAGTTGTTTGGCAAATTCGATCAAATTGCAAAGGTAAACATTACATTATCAAACCCTGTCACTAACCAACACGTTTTTAACATGCTACATTTTTTATTTTTTTTTGCTTAACAATTACTAATATCTTATGTAAAATCTTATATCGTACTTATGTCGTACTTGTTGTTTTCTCTTGTTTTGAGATAATCACATAGAGAGATATTTGTGATGTGTCTCACTTTTATCCTGATGGATTTGTGTTATTTCTGTAAACACCTGGTCAAACATGGATAATTAAACTTTACACTGAGATTTGCAGTGTGGGTAATAAAATAGTTTGTAGCAAGAATATCTTAACAAAAAGTATAAAGTGGTAAACATGATTCATCAGGTTTTCATATGAGCTCATGGAGCAACAGCTTGAGTCATATAATATATAATTTTTTTCACTCACAGAAATGGTTAATAGAGGATAATTCACTATAGCTACAATACAAAGCACATTGAATGTAAAAAACCTGAATTCGAACCTGAAACTGTATTCCACCTTTGTAAATACCAGGAGAATGAATGTATGCGGATCAAAATCCTTGGCGACTGTTACTACTGTGTGTCCGGGCTGCCAGAGTCTTTACCAAACCACGCTAAGAACTGTGTGAAAATGGGTCTGGACATGTGCGAGGCCATCAAGTAAGTGCCACTTACATAAGAGTGCTGCTAAAGCAGGACAGCCGTGTTTTTGAAATGCTTGCTTCTCAGTTACTCAACCACATGTCGAGGCTAAAGTATCCCTTAAGTTTACCGTAGTAAAGTTAGACCTTTGACTCAAATAATGGGGCGCAATGTGCACAAATACACACAAAATTAGTAGTATGGACAGAAGGCTCGGTCTGTTCCCGTATACATGTCTAACATTCAGCATGAATGAGCTCATAAAGTGACTGTTGAAAATGCCACTGCACTTTTTTAACTTGGTGACCTGTTTTTCTTCCCACTGTTTTTTCTTTGCATAAACCATAAAGGTCATAGAGTGAAACATTTGCTCACTTACATTACTACATATTAATAAGTCTATTTTTGGCGTATGACAGGAAAGTGAGAGATGCCACAGGGGTTGACATCAACATGCGTGTTGGTGTGCATTCAGGGAATGTCCTGTGTGGTGTGATTGGACTTCAGAAGTGGCAGTACGATGTTTGGTCACATGATGTGACGTTGGCCAATCACATGGAGGCAGGAGGTGTTCCAGGGTGAGTACACATAAATCTTTATTATATTGGTAAACTGTCCCTCAATTTTGAAGGTTATAAACAGAGCAACATTTAATTTTCATAAGGAAATAATTTGTTGATCGTTTTTTTCCAGACGAGTCCACATCACTTCAGTTACACTGGAGCACCTAAATGGTTCCTATAAAGTGGAAGATGGGGATGGACAGGAAAGGGACCCCTACCTAAAGGAACATGGAGTCATCACTTATTTAGTCATAAACCCAAAGGTTCCAAAGCACTCCCAACACATTGAACAAAATAAACATTGGACCTTGAATAAAATGCAATAAAATAATACATGTTTCCATGTTTGTCCAGGTGGAGCACCGGAGCCCGCAGCAGCATTACCGTCCCAGGCACACTCTGTATGGAGCAAAGATGAGGGCCTCAGTCAGGATGACCCGCTACCTGGAGTCGTGGGGAGCAGCCAAGCCCTTTGCCAACCTGCACCACAGAGACAGCATGACTAATGAGAACGGGAAGATCAACACTGCTGTGTGTAATTCTTTTCTACAGTCACAGTGCTTTTAAGTGATGAAGAAGTTTAGCTGTGGCTTTTAACCAACTTCTCTTGCTCTGTGTCTAGGATGTGCCGATGGGGCAGTATCACTTCCAGAGGAGATCAGAAAGGCAAGCTGCTCATTTTACAGCTCCAGCAGAATTTACTTTGACAGAATCATCCCCAACCCTTACCAGTGCAGAGTCTGATGACAAGATGTTTAATAAGAGAGGACGTCTGCAAGAGGCTTTGAAGTGTGTGACTAATATTACGTGTCTTTAAAATATATTCTGTGTCTTTTTCTTGTCGCCCCTAACAGGACAAAGTCTCAGAAGAAAAGGTTTGAGGAAGAATTCAACGAGAGGATGATTAAGACCTTCGATGGGATAAATTCACAAAAGTAAGGGTATAATTATAACTCCCTAAATGACAGAAACATGTATTTGATATTTTAGTTTGACTCATGTCCCATTCACTAACATGGAGATGGTGGATTGTATGACATATACTGCACGCAGCCACCAGGGGCAATCAAGATGCTTTGGCTTCACTTGTGTGGAGCTGTTAGGTAGTCCATCTTTATGTATATAGTCTTTTTGTAGCCTGCTATTTTAAATTCCTGAACATTCACCCACATTCTCCACAACATTCTCCTTTGCAGATCAGGTTCTAAGATATTTATAGGCTCAAATATTAACACTCAACATGTTAGTGATATAAGTGACTAATATAGATAAAAATCTGTCCGTTCTCCACTTTCCCTGTTTCATTTGTTTTCATTTAGGCCTTTAAAATGTCCCATAGATTTAAAGCTTATAAGGTTAGTGGAGATCTGAGTGTATTACAGGTAGAAGTGTGCAAAACCTAACCTTTGTCCGTGCTACTATGATGGTTTTTAATTTGTTTCTTAAGAAATAAAATGTAACACATATAATTTAAAACATCTGTTCGCTCTAGGGGTT